TGTGTGTGTGTGTGTGTGTTTAAAATTCTAGAAACTAAGAACTATGACTTCACAAACCAGTTCTGTGAATACTTAGAACTTTTGAGGAACTCTAATTTTAAGAGTGAACTGGATTCTCATCTCAAAAACATGTAAGTTTACTTGAATTTTAAAGGACAGAGTTTGAAACACTCAAGTGTTTAAATGTATAATAAATGCTATGCTAAATAATTTGACATATTACTTTTTTTTTTACCAAATACTATCATTTTCAACACCTTATCACATTATCCTATTGTGAGATTTCTTTAGAGCTTTCTAAAGGAAGAAAAAATATAGATGCAGACGAGGGGGCTTCAGAAAGTTCGTGGACAAATTCCATTATCTTTTCATGCCTCCTATATGCAAAGTCATTTGAACTGCAAGATCAGTACTTCAAGCTCACCAGTTGCTCCTTGGAAACCCTATACAGGGTCCCTATGGGCCGGAATTGACTCTACAGCACTTAACAACAACAACATATGTGTGTGTGTATAGATATATGTTTGTATATATATTTGAAAGATATACAGATACATCTATGTATCTGTCTATAGATCTAAATTCTTCTCCAGGAATTCTTTGAATGGACTCCTACTAGTATGACCAGTCTTGGAAGCCTCTTTATACTCTCTGGAGGTCTTATTGTCTTCTGAAACACTGCATATTCATTGTTCCCCAGGTTAAATGACTCTTTAGTTGTCTTTTTGTTTCTCCTCTCTCCTCCCCGGCGCCCCACCCAACACCACTGCAAGGCATTCTGTTTAAAATATTGGTTCATTTCTAGTTACAAGAACCCACATGCCATCTCTTATTCCAGGAAAATTCTGAAATGGACCCAGATAAACAAAGTGAGTATTACTGTCAAGTTTCAGAGCACAGTTTGTAAACAACAACAACAACAAAAATCTCAAAAACATGTAAATTGTTATAGGCACAGATATTGTATTTTTAGACATCTGAGTTACAGAAAAGAAAACATGTGACAGATTTCTAATTGGAAAAGAAAATAACAGGTGATTAAAGAAATTTTTCTCTTTTTTCTAAACAGAAATCCATAATTAGTTGAAGAGTATTTGGTCTATTATCTCCAAAGCACTAAAAAATAATTTAACAAAAGACTTGGTCTCAATATAACTACATTTAAAAATTGTTATTCAAATCCACAAAAGGGTCATCCTATTTTTATTATCTTTGTGGTTTCCTATTAAAATGATGTAACTGTAGATATTTTAATGTCAAGGGGAAATTCCCATTATTATGTGATCCCAAACCTATGAGAGAGGTCCCGCTGATGTCATTATGTGACTAATAGATATAGAGAAAACTATTTCCCTTTCTTCCAACGTCTTTGAATGGCAAGTTCAGTGTGTGACAGGTTGATCTGTAACATTTTTATTGCTGGATCTATTTACAGCCTTATCCCTGTAGCTGAAATCTAGATGGTTGGCCCTAATTTTTTATATAAGATTCATTAACATCCCAAGTTACTTATCTAAAACAACATCATGAATGGTCCAAATGAACTTTGATTTTCCCAAATTTGGGCCCTCATGTTAGTAAGCTAAACACAAGGATCAAGTTAATCCGTTCAGTGTTCAATTTGCTCCCTGCAAAGCAGTGGCTCACAAATGTAGAACAGATAAGAATCACCTGAAGTGTTTGCTAACTACTATGTTCCACCTGTGGCAGGTAGGTCAGTAAGTCTGCAGTGGGAGCCGAGAATGTGTGTCTCTAACAAGTTCCCAGGTGATGCTAATGCTACTCCTCTGGGATTACACTTTGAAAGTCACTAGCATAAAACATCTATTTCTAGATTGACCTTTAGCTAGATGGTCCACAGATGTGGATGTTGTTGTTTGCTAAGGAGCTGAGTCTGAGTAATGGCACCCCCTGGCGTCAGAGAAGAGCAACTCCTTAAGGTTTCCAAGGCTGTGACCTTTCAGAAGCTGGTCACCAGACCGGCTTCCTTCCAAAGATGGGTTCGTAGTTGAGCATGTGACCATTTTCACCAACCATGGACTCCTAATGGACAGTTGAAATAGGTTTTATTCCATCCATTGTAGTTAGTATCTATGGAAAATGATGTGTTGATTTACTAAGCAAAACATAAATAGTATTCAAACCAAATTGCTTCCACAAATAGGAACATGCAGCTTGTATTATTTCTTTAAACCCTGAAGCAACTTTGTCCATAGCCTTGGTCTTGATGTATCCAGCAATTTCTTTCTTCCTTTCTTGAGTTATAGCCTGCCAGCAGTACAAACCAAATGAAGTCTTGAGGAAGTAGGGCTGGAAGAGACAGCTTGCCATGCTATGCTGCGTCACTTTATCAGATGATGCTGCAGAACATCATTTGACAAAAGTGTGGCACACCAGATGGTGGTACAGCTCTGCAGTCACTCCTTCTCCAAAAGCAGCATCTGGCAAGCCGTAGAGCCCTGTTTTCCTGATTCTCTGTCTCTGTTAGGTGCATCTGAGAGGAACCAAGTCACAAAACCTGGCCAGTTTCCAGGGGCTGGAGGGAATGTTGGGAAATGCACTTCTGTAAATGATTCCCACACTATTATATGCATATTTCCCATTTGTCTTCCTTCTCCAAACTAAGTGCAGAGGCATTGCTTAACTTCTCTCATACTCAGACATTGGAATCTTATCTGAATATAAAACATTTTTAAAGCATAAGGAAATACTGAATCATGGACATTTGAGAGCAAGTTGTAGATTTGTTAGTATGTTTGTGTCTCTTCAAATAAGACATGGAAGGTTCTTAGACAAGATGGCTTGTTTGGGTGACAATTTTTAGATATAGCTTGCATTTACCTGAGATAGGTGTCCTTAACTCATGATCATACACTTGTCATGGAAGCAAAATTCAGAGAGAACCCTGTGGTGCGGTCTCTAACTCCTAAGAATGGGCCTGCCCTGGCTCAATGCTGAGCCTAGAGCCTGGTGCTCAATGTCCATATGTAATGGCTAGGTAAAAGTGCTGGGATGGCACAAATGATTTGTGCTTGATTCTGAAATGAAGGTTGGCAGTTCAAACCCCCTCAGTGGCATCTCAGAAGAATGACCTGGAGATCTACTTCCATAAAGATTACAGCCAAGCAAACACAGGGAGGAGTAGTACTTCCCTGTAATACAAGGAGTGGCCACACTGTTGAATTGACTGAAAAGCAATGGTTTTGTTTGGTTTTGGTTTCCTTTGTTATAGCTAGAACTTTGCTCCACTTTCCAAACCAAAATGATGTCCATGTGCCTTGGTATGAAATTCAGACTGAGCCATGTATGAGAAAAAGCCATCTTCTATAAACAGACAGAAATTTCTAAGGGTTTGATCCTGAACACAGGGTGGAAGGCCACCACATGTTATGTTTATTGCCCTTGGCTCTGAGTCCACTGGAAGACATACAACTCCATGTCAAGATTGGACATAGAAATCCTTGCAAAGCCTAGGGCCTGGGTTCCTTGTTGCTGCTGCACAGGCTGCCCCTCACTGCAGAGAGCTGACACCAGCTACTGTTTGTAACTTGACAAACTGATAGTAAAACTCATCTGTAAAAATAAATGAAGCAGAGTACAAACAAGATGGTGGATCGGGTGGAAGTGCAGTGAGGAGCTCCATCAGCAACAACACAAAAGAGCAGACCAAGCAGACTCAGGGCATGGTGCCAGAACTCTGAACCACATATAAAGGAATATTTAGAAGGTTGGAAGACTTACAGCTAGGGTAATTTGTAGCAGAAGCAAGAAATCCATTGCTTTCTAATTCAAGATGTTCAGCTGCTCCTGGAGCTGCCATCTTGGGAAAGACCAAGCAGGGGAAGGATCAGAGCAGCCTCAGATGCCTGAGAGAACCACGGAGATAAAAGTATAAACATTCTTTGTTTTTTGTATCTGTTCATTGGCCTCTTGCTGTCTGTGTACCTCCATTCTGGTGACTAGAGAGGATGCCTGAGTGAGTGGACACTCCACTTACACCCTCGGAGGGTTCTACTACACATGTGCACAGATATCCATGAAATTTAAAGTGACAGTTTCCACGTAAAACCAAACGGCAATGCAAAATGGCCATGGCCAGCTCTGAACTGTTTATCACTAGGAAAAAGACCTGAACAGAGGTTGTGGAACAGGACAGGTAGGCTGAAAAGGAAATAGGCTGAAAATTAAATCCTGAGTCACGTCACAATGACCAACAGTGGCATCTAGAAATTTCTCAGGTAGAAGAGTGAAAAGGGAAGCCCATCTCCAGATCTCATCTACCTGGAGGCAATCAGAAAGCATAAAAATTACCAAAACACACACCTATCTAAGTATTAAGGCCACAGATAACTCCTGAATATGCACCAAACCAGAAACAGATGACCATTTAGCAAATGTCCAGAAACGAGATAAAATGACTAAGGCAAATGAGCTGGAAGTAGACCTACAGTCCATACTGGAAGATGGGCAGGCTTTGTAAATGACTGAAAAGGCATTCAGAAATATGATTATAAAATGTGTCAAAACACTATACAATGGAGTTGAGAAAAATAAGAAAGAAGTCAGGAAAGTGCTACAGGAGCAATCAAACAAGATAGATAAAGCATTGGAAACCATTCAAAACCTACAGAAAGAAGTCCAAACGACTAATAATAGAATATCAGAAATGTATAATACATTGAAAAGGCAAAGGAGTAGAATTGAAGAGATAGAAGCCAGAACTAGAGAGCTAGAAGATAAATCTCTCAACATGACTAAGATAGAAGAGCAAGCACAAAAAAGGAATTAAAAAAATCTGAAGAAGGCCTAAGATTCATGTTGGACAACATGAAGAGGACTAACTTAAGAATTATTGGCATTCCAGAACAGGAAGAATCACACAAGTCCATAGAGGATATAGTTGAAGAGCTTCTAGAATAAAATTTCCCTAACATCCTGAAAAACAAAAAAAATAAGCATTCAAGAAGCTCAACGAACCCCAGGAAGGATAGACCCTAAAAGACAATCACCAAGACATATAATAACCAAGCTCTCCAAAATCAAAGATAAGGACAGAATCCTGAAAGCAGCTAGGGAAAAGAGAAGTGTAACATACAAAGGCAAGCAAATCAGATTAGGCTCAGATATCTCAACAGAAACCATGCAGGCAAGAAGGCAACGGGGAGAGATTATATAAAACCCTGACAGAAAAAAAAAACAAACACTGCCAACCAAGAATCCTCTACGCAGCAAAGCTGTCAATCAAATACAAAGGTGTAATCAAAACATTCCAGGATAAACAGAAGCTAAGGGATTTTGCCAAAGCCAACCCCGCTTTGAAAAACATCCTAAAGGAAGTTCTGTGGACTGAGAACCAACAAGAACAGACAACAACCATTGAATGATGTATGTGGCAGCATCACCCTGAACTCAATCGACAAATGGAAGAGTCAAGAACAGAATAAAATTATAAGAACAGAGGATCTGGGAGGTCAGTCTATGATCAACACAATTACAATGTGAAAGAAGGTAAACACAGAGGAACAGGTGGTGAGAAGGTTAGGTAGATAATAGGATAAAATAGACTGTCTTAAATGGAGGGAAGAGTTAATGGACTATAAGGTAACCACAACAGTGGGGTTGGGTGGGGGTTCAGTTTGGGTGTTGGAGAGGGCAATACAAGAAGGGGGAGGAGGCAGAAGAACAAGATAGATAGGTGAACACTGAGACAGATTTGCATGTGCTAAGTGAGACAGAGGTAAATAATGATTATGCTCAACCTTGGAACAACAGGGCTCTGTGATACAGGGATCTAGTCATAGTTTGAAGAAGGGAGCTTATACTAAGATGCTTTACTGTCATTTGAATATTGGCTTCCCTCACCTACTATTGTAAAATAGACATTTGAGTGAGATAAAAAGGAATGTTGGGAAACATGATTACAGAAAGCTTGTAAGCCTGTCTTCAGCCTATAACTGATTGGAATACCTAAAAGGGGTTCTAGAACTTGTACAGTGAAATATGCCTCTTGCAAAGACTTTGCAGAGTATAGGACCTTAGGTGGAATACTGAGTCCCATCCAGAACCTTATGAGGTGGGACACTCCCACTAGCAAGGACAAGCAGATCACCATGTAACAGCTAGAGCAACAGAAGATACATCTTCAAAGAAAGATCACCAGGAAAAACCCAAAACAAAAATGTCAGCATGACTGGCTACTACAAGAATAAGCAAGCTGTTCACCAGGAAGCCATCAAGGCAAGCAATCGAGTTCCTTCAGGACAAACTCCACTCTAAGACCGAAACTCAAAGAAAATACATGAACAGGCATGTAAGCTTGCTGGAAACCACATTGGTCTCCTAGTGAGTGGAAGAGGGGGAAAGGTAGCAATGAAGAAATTGGCTGAGTTCAACCACAGTCCATTGACTCCTGTTGACCTGGAGATGAGAGATAAGAGGAAGGTTGGTTGTCTGAAGGGTGGTGAGACCTGGGGACACCTGAGCCCATGGACAAAGACATAGCCCCAGAGGGCTAGAGCCGAGAGTGAAGCATCCAGCTGTTATGAAGGGAGGGGTAATGCACAAGAACACCCAAACTTGCAGACAGTATCAAGCCTTGATGGCTTGATAATCAGAGCTCGACTAGAGGAAGATTAAAAAAAAAAAAATTTTTTTTTGATAAAGGAAACAACAGTAAATTGTTACAATTTGATGAACCTGACCTATACTCATGGAGGGAGACTTCACATCTAATATAAATGCTATCCCCTCTGTACACAGGGTAGATAGGGACAGGCAGCTTAGACATTGGCTACCTGAAATGAGGGGGCAATAAAGGCACGAAGTGACTGGCTTACAAGGTTTCAAGAGGGAGTTTCGTTTAAGTGTATGGGGTGGGGGGAGAAAGAGTCCCCACTGAATAGTTTTCATCTTGTCTAGATGGGTCTGGTGAAAAGAGATGGGGATAAGATTTGTATGATTCAATAGTGAGTAATTGTTATCATGACTAATTGCGATTGCCATAATTGTAAAGGTAGAAGTTTTGTAACAAAAACAGGTGAGTGGTTAATCTTACAGTTCAGAAACAGAGGTCCCTAGGACCATCAAGGGAGAAGAACACAAGCGGAATGCGGGATCTTATCCAGAGAAGCAGCAACTCCAGAGATGGAGGCAGAGATGGGGACATGGAGAGGGGGAGTGGCTGAGGACTCTAGATTCATGGAAAGAGAGGGACTAAGAGATGGTGGCCAGGAGGCAAACTTGCAGAATGTGCCCTTTGGAGGTATAAATTATTATATATGCCTGAGTGTTTTGTTTTGTTTTGTTTTGTTTTATTTAAAGAAAGCTAAAGTGAATACAGAGAAATACTGTTAACTGATGGCACATGGAGGGGATTATAATCATTGCAATAAAACAAGGTGTATGATTTGTTGAATGTAAAACTGATGATATGCCCTGTAAAGTTTCACTCAATCCAATAAAAAAAATTGAAAAAAAAAAAAAGAAGAAATGCAGCTTGAGATCACTGCAGGGATAGGTGGAGTAATGGATTGGTATAGAGCCCAGAACATGACCCAGGTATATTTGAAATGCTGTTGCTAGGTGCTCCCAAGTCAGTTTTGACTCACAGTGACCCTATGCAAAGCAGAATGAAATGTGAGCATATGACAAAGATGACATTTTAGCTCAGTGAAGAAATTACATGTTATTTAACAATAGTGTCAGGGCCATTGGGTAACCATTGGGAAAAATACAATATAGATTCTCTATTTCATAACATACACAAAAACTTAAACATAAATACATTACAAAGTTAAACACAAATTAGAACACTTTATAACTATTAGAAGAACATACGGGAAAAAATTTTTTATTAGAATTTCTATACATTTATAGATTCATTTGAATCTTCATGACACTAGCATTCTATCCATAAATAACATATATATTTCTCCATTTACTCATATAATCCTCATGTCATTCTGTATATACAGCTCTATAAGATTTTATACATTGCTTAGTATATTTAGACATGAAGATTTTAAACTTACCTGTTATGTCTGATTATTGCTGCCATAAAGCAATGATTCTCTAAGCATGGCTCAGCATACTTTGCGTCAACTGTAGCAGCATTACCTGGAAAGTTGTTAAAATGCAAACGTTCAGGTTCCCAGTCAGACCCACTGAATCAGAAAGTCTGGGACTGAGGCACTGCAATTTATATTTTAAAAGACTGCCAGGTAAGTATGATGCCAGTAAAAGATTGAAAATCACTTTGGTGTAAAAGGAATGTATTGATTTCAGAACAATTGTCCTGGATCCAGTGAATTTGTCGATGATTCTTATGGATTAGCTAGACAGATAATCAGATCATTTGTAAATCCTGATATCATCGGCAAGTCCATTCTTTGCCAATATTGATACCTCTTTTTTTTCCCCATCTAATTATTTATTTTTATATAGATTCGATTCCAAAGCAGGAATGGCAAATAAGTTTGAAATTGGTATCATTTGCCGACTCCCTTGGCCTGGTCCTGACTGCCTTAGCCTTGACAGGGTGGGGATAGCCCTAGAATGTAAGCTCCACAAGGGTGGGAGTTTTGTCTGTTTTCTTAACTTCAAGGACCTGGAATCACGCCTGATGCACATAGTCGAAGTACAATAAGTAAAGGAATGACCAGCTTTTGGGTCTTTATGTACACATAAATACATGTATGGACATGACTAGAATATAACATATATGTTTAACAATGTTGAGTTTACATTCTATGTGCGGTTGTTTTTGCTTTTAAATCTCATCTGTTTCAGAAGGTCTTCTTTTATTTAAAATTTTTTTTTTTATTAAAAAAAATTTTTTTTTTATTCTTTGATTCTCCTGGAGTCATGGTCCTTACCTTTTGGTGAATTTCCTAAATAGAGAGACTCAGAGGGATGCTCCCTAGGTCACCTGCAGCCCCAGGGTCCTGCGAGTCCATTATTATTTGTTCCCAGGTAGAACAGAGAGCTCTCGGTCTTGGTTTTCTCATCTGTAAAATAAAGGAAGGCTATACAATTTCTAAGGGAACACGGTGGCTCCATATGATAAGCACTGGACTGCAAAGCACAAGCAGTTTGAGATTGCCAGTCGTTCCGCGGGAGAAAGGTGAGGCTTTCTAGTCCCATGAAGATTTTAAAAGCCTATACAGGGTCATTATTAGTTGGAACCGACTAACTAGCACTTAACAACAACAACAATATGGTCTCTAAAGAGCCCTAGTTGTGCAGTGGTTAAAGCATTTCACTGTCAACTGAAAAGTCAGCAGTTTGAACCCACCAGCTGCTCCTCTTGAGAAAAGGGGCAATCTGCTTCTGTAAAGATTCCAGCCTAAGAAACTCTGTGGAGCAGTTCTATTCTGTCCTGTGGATCATTATTAGAATTGATTCCATGGTAATTGGTTGGTTGGTTTTTTGTTTATATGATCTCTAGTTGTGGGATTTATAAACCAAGATCATGCTTTCATCATAATATTTTATGTTTTCTTCACAGATGCTCTTAATAATATTGAGAATTCCATTTATAGAACAGCCTTCAAATTACGGTCTGTGCAAACTCTGTGCCAATGTGAGTACAGGCTGTCCTAAAGCACTTGAGAAATCTACGCCTGTGGTGTGAGGTCACATTCACGAAGAAATGACAAACTCTCCCATGACTCAGGACAACTTGTAACAGAGAAGGTTGGGTGTTCAGCTCCTGTGTGGCTCTGCTGACTAACAATAGAAAATGATTGGTGGATGAGCAGTTTATTTTTGTTTGCTGTTTTTTACCTCTCCCTACTTCATTACTGGAAATATTTTGCTTCATTTTTAGGATACCAGTATTGACACAAAACCAAATGAGAAAATAAACTAATTTAGAATCTGGACTTAAGAGATTTGAGTATAAAAATGTAAGATTCCTTCTTCCGCCTCAGAGTTCCATTTTCCAACTGTATCATTAATCTACATCCAAACATCCAAAAGTCCGTTTAAACCAATAACCCATGGGCCATAAGTTTCTAAACCATCTTGTGAATTCCTTGAGAGCTGCTATTTTTCATTCCGTTTTTATCTGATTGAATGCTACCATTTTCTTTTCCTGTTGGGTCATTTAAGAAACTCTGGTGGTATAGTGATTAGAGCACTTAGCTGTTAACTGAAAAATTAGTGGTTCAAACCCACCAGCTGCTCTATAGGAAAAGAATATGACACTCTGTTTCTGTAGAAACACGCAGCTTTGGAAACCCCAGAAACTCTATCCTATAGTGTGATGATAATTCAGCATCAACCCCAGTGGCAGTGGGTTTGGTTTTTTTGTTTGTTGGTTTGTTTTGTCTTATAGTGTTCTTAAGGCAAAATACGGTAAAATGTAATGAAAACTTTTACCCCATAAAATTCTCCAAAATTAACTAATTGGGTTCTAGCTCTTTAAAAAAAAACCCCAGCTCACAACAAAAATAGCAGGCATTCCACAAATCTAAAGTTATTGCTTTCCCCTAAGTTCTTTATGGCATGCAAAAGGTATCACATGAAATGGCTTTGGACATTTATCCTATCAGACTCAAAGCAGTTCTATGTCTGGCATTTCTGCTAAAGGTTAATTTTATTTTATGCTTTTCCATCTGCCTAATGAGTTATATAGACCAGTGGTTTGCAAATGGTGCTTTACAAAGTGAACATGGATTTGAGGCTCAACACTGATAGGTAAGCAAGGGAGAGACAGGCAGGTTAGGAAGGCTCAAGGACCATTCCCTCAGCAGGTCAACTCTATCTTTCTCTGTTTTACGTAATGTGCTCCCCAAGCAGTCTTCCGTTGGAAATATAATTCTTGGTTTTAAAAAGATTTTCAAAATGACTAATCTAGACAGATAAACTCACATAAGACTATTATTTCTTAGCCCAGGGATCAAGAAAAGGCAGAATATGGCCACTGACAATTTACGCTCAATTATGTTATTTTCTGGGAGAATTTCTCCCATTCAAGAAAATGATTACAGAAGTCTCCCTCATTAATGCCTAGGAGTCCCTGGGTGGTGCAGACAGTTAAGCACTGGGCTACTAAGTAAAGGTTCGCAGTTCAAACTCACCCAGGTACACAAAGTCAGTAGTCAAAAACTTCTAACTAAAAAGATATCAAAACAAAAACTCAACAACAGCAACATCAACAAAATATCCCAAACCTATGGCAGGAGCTCCAAGGAGCAGGCTCTGAAAAGTGGCCTGCATCAGTGTTCTGGGAAGAGAGGTGGTACATCCAGTACCTGGTCTGCCATAATAAAGAAGTCTCAGCAGAAGACAAAACTGTTCTATTTACACAATGCCAGGCAGAGAGATGGGTCTTGCTGTTATATAATGATCAATGATTTTTCAGCCCCCAGTACGTGCAACTATGTTTTTCCTTTCAAGTCCCACTCCATAAACCTACTCCTCACTTGCCAAGACTGTCTACTGAAAATCATTATCAGACAACAAATAAAAACGTTTATGCTATTGTTAGATTATTATTTTTTTTAATCTGAGAGAGAGATTTTCAAAGTAGAGACAAGGGCAGGTTTGACAATTTCACATGTTGAACCATTCAAATGCCCACACCTCTTGCTGTTAACCTCACCTATCAGCTGGTAAAAGCGGGTGTTTATTAATTTTGTCTGTCATTCACTCTTCTCAAGAAATCATAGGGCTGGTTCTATTTCATTCTTCTATTCATTCCTTGTAAAATATTTAGAAGGTGCTAAAATATATAAGAAAGAAATCATCATTATTTTGTAACTTTACCTTTTTACTGAGTTGTATATAACTCTCTTTTTACAGAGTTCTTTCTTTCCCTAGAGAAGAATATTAATGGAACCAAGACCAAAAGAACCCAGAAGTTACTGGGGCAAGATCCAAGGAGTCTGATACTTTGTAAAGACCACTGGGTTTTCAAATTACCTTGTGTTATTGTTGTTGGGTGCTGTTGTGTTGATTCAACTCATAGCGACCACAGCTGAAAGACTAGAATTGCCCCATCACATTCTCTTGGCTGTAATTTATGGAAACAGATCACCAGGTCTTTCTCCTTCAGTGCTTCTAGGTAGGTTTGAACCACCAACCTTTTGATTAGCAGTGGGATGCTTAACTGCTGTACCATCAAGTGTCCTTCAAATTACATTATCACATACAATAAAGGATCCTTCTAGAGTTCGGTTTATAGCTTCTCTTAACATGTATTTGCATGAATATAAATAAAACTGTATTTGGACAATAAAGGTAAAATGTCATAATACACCTAATGAGAATAAAACACTTTCTTCTGACTTCTTTTTGCTGTATCCTAATTGGCTCTGAAGACTGTTTTTCAAGTTTCTCACTTTTTCTTTAACATCATTCTATAAAGTAATAATCCTGGAAGTTATACAACCTTTGTTAATAATGTTACACCTATGCTTAAATAAAGGAATCCCTGGTAGCATAGTGGGTTATGTGTTGGGCTGCCAACTGCAAGGTCAGCAGTTCAAATCTACCAGCCACTGTGGTAGAAAAATGAGGTTTTCTGTTCCCATAAAGATTTACAACCTCAGAAACCCTCTATGCAGGTTTGCCATGAGTTAGATCTGACTCTACAGCACACAACCACCACCACACTTAACTAACACACTTCTCCAAAATGAAATTGACAGAATAGTAATGTCTGAATTATACATAAAATAGGTATCAAAACCACGGTCAGCTTTCATTCTCTTTCAAAGAAAATTATTGACATAAAGACACTCGTCATTAAAGAGTAGATGATATTTGCTTTTATCTGAAACCTTTGATTCCAATCAGAAAATGAGGTTCAGTTCTCTGTGTGTTTCCTGCAGTGGACTTGGTTGACAGCTCCCTTATCCAGTGCCTGCTAGCCTGCCAGCACTTCTAGGATGCCAGGGAGCACGCCCTCTCGGAGCAGGAGCTTTTTTCAGGACCTCCGGGAGTTGTTCCAGGGAGCCAGGGAGGAAAAGCCTGGACAGATGGATCCCTGAGTTTCAAAACTCAGTCTGAGCCTCCTTACAGTGATGTACGACAGGTGAGTGGTAGATGCTGTGTTTTCACCTTAAGGACAGTATTTATTCACCACTGGTCATTGACCATCTGATGCTGTCTAATGTGTGGAGTTGTACAGATCCCATAAGTCACTATAGACTCAATGGCAAAGGATTTCAATGGGTTCATGTTTTGAGGAAAAAGCTGGCAATCTATTCTCATAAAGACTCAGCCTAGACTACCCTATGGGGGACAGTTCTACTCTGTCACATAGGGTGGCTATGAGTCAGCAGAGACTTGTACAGCACCCATCGTTTGCTTGGGGTCCTGAGTGCTAACCATAAAGGATGAAGGCTCAAGTCCATTCTGAAGTGCCTTGAAAGAAATACTTGCAGTCTACTTCCAAACAACCAGCCACAGAAAACTCCATGAAGCACAGTTCTATTTTAACACACATGGGGTTGTCAAAAATTGGAATTGACGTGGTGGCAACTAGAACTGAAATGTTTGTTTGGAGTTTGGTACATAAGAAGACTTCATTGTTTGCTTGATTTCCACAAGCATATTATGCATTGAGGAGGGGAATGAAGACATACATGTTTATTAGCTTCATGAAGACATATGACCCATGAACAGAAAAATGGGGAAAGAAAATCTGCATTACCTTTTCTCTCAGACAAACGAATCTTCACTCTAGAGAAGCTGTGCACCCTTTATTAGGGTGATTTTGTGTCTATTTACAGGAAAAACTGTATTTTGCTTTGGAGTCTTTGGTAACCATATTTCTTGCTCATTGGTTTGTTATCCATTATCAATTTTTGTTTGGGTTTTTGACTGGGCTAAAAATGGATGTCCTGTTAGCTTGTATGGTAAAGGGTAGAAACTCACTGAGACCGTGGCAAAGGGTAGATCCTACGTGCCAGTGGAGCCAATGGTTACGTTCATTAGTGTGTGTACGTTTGCAGACACGAGCGTGTTTCTCCTTATGATTCAGTGCACGGTGGCATTTAACCATTTACCTGCTCCACTTTTTTTACCTATGTTAGCCTGCTTCTGCATGCCTCATTCTTTAGAACCGATTTTTAAAAACTCACAGTGAGTGCCAAACATTTAGAAAAAATAGAAAAGAGTAAAGAAAAATAAGTATTGTCCATAAGCCTCACTTTCAGAGTCAAGCACAAGTTAACTTATTTGATAAATTCTTTAGTGTTATTTTCTTGTCTAGTTGATTATTTTTATTGTTCAAAAAATTTTTGCACAAAAGTATCCAAAGCCTCCAAAATCAGTATTACTATATAAGATCACTACAGACTCCTGGGGCGTTGGTGCAGGGTCAACACTGCACTGCAAACCACAAGGTCGGCAGTTCAAACCCTCCAGCTGCTCCCTGGAAACCCTGAACAGGGTCACTATAAGTTGGAACCAATTCGATGGCAATTAACATAACATGAGTCAAAACCGACTCCATGGCATTTAACAACAACAACAAATGCAATATAACCACATTCACATGTTATTTTGAATAATTTTCAGCCTCCTTAAATATTTGACTTTTAACTGCCATTTCTACCATCAGCATTTGCATCTACCAGACCCCCTGCCTTGGATAAATGGTATCATAAGTTTGGAAACTGTATAGTCAGTGTGTTTAGGCTCTGATTGAGGGCCTATGAAATGATGGAGTGTTTTTTGTTTTTTTTATCATGAACGTCTGCACTTTGTCTTTGTTGTTTGGTTTCCATATTGTTGAGTTCTAATGAATGGATAATTGCCTGCTTCAAGAAGTCAGGGTTCCTTGCCGTTTGGTCTCACCCAAGATGTCAGCTCTTGGCCTTCGAGCCTGGCAGATTCAAAAGAGGGTCCAGTTGCTGGAGAAGGGCATCATGTTTGGTAAAGTAGGCGGCCATCAAAACAGATGAGGATCCCCAATGGGATGGATTAACACAGTGACTGCAATAACAGAAAACCTTTATAAATAGATTTTCGTATGGAGAAGAGACACATGTCTAGAGCACCTGGCCTGGGAAAACCTTTCTTAAGACATGATGAATTTAATCATAAAGTGCAACCCATACCAAAGACAGTGCTCTTTGATCTTCATCAATTATTCATTAGTGACACAACCATAAGAAGTCTTCACACTTAAGACTATGTGGTCCAAAGGACAATTTCAGCTCATCTGAGTTCCTATGGAAATTGCCCTGAGTTCACCATGGGAGGAGAATCTCTGCATTGGGAGATCTTTTGAAGATTTAGAAAAAACTTTGAGAAAATACAGTCTAAATGAAATTTATAACCTGGAGAAACATGGTGTGAGTACTGTTTAAGAAAAAAACTAGTGTGGTCCCATATGAGGGATGGGTTAATGAGGAGAAAACCCAGAGGTACTGAGACCAATTAACAGAGCAGACATACACCAATCAGTTCTGACCTCCTGTAAAAGCAGTAGGAACAGACTCAGAGAAAAGATGAGATATCAGAGGATGGACACTAAAAGCTGTAGGAGGTAAAAGAGGGAGAAAGAAGCAAATGGATTCTGAGGTTTGATCTTGGAAGAATAACTTACTTCTGACAGAATCAAAAAGAATCTTCAAACAAACATTTCCATCTTTTTATGTCTACAACATTCTGTAAAAGAGTGTTTACTATCATTTGCCAAAGTAAAAAAAAAAAAAAAGTCAGGGTTCACCCTTTACCCCCAGTAACCAGTACTGTGTTTAACAATTAATATTGTATAAAAATGAGTGGATGAATAAACAAATGGAGACATAGTTTAATTCAACGTGTGTGTGTGTGTGTGTGTATGTGTGTGTGTGTGTGAGAGAGAGAGAAAGAGAGAGCACTGCTGTCGAGTCAATTCTGATGCATGGTGGTCCCATCTAGCACAGAAACCCTGCTTGGTCCTATATCATTTTATTAATCATCAGCACAGTCAACTCATCATTGTGGCCACTGTGCCATTCCATGTCACTGAGGTCCTTCCTTGCCCTCTTTCCCCAGCAATGACTAGGTCATGCTCAGTTACTGGGTTGTTGTTGTTGATAGGTGCCACCAAGTCAGTTCCAACTCAGCACCCCCATGCACAACAGGACAAAACGTATCCAGTACTGCACTATCCTCACCACTGTGGTTATTCCTGAGCCCAGTGTTGCTGCCGCTGTGTCAAGCCATCTCATTGAGGGTCTTTCTCTTTTTTGTTGACCCTAAACTTTTTCAAGCATTATGTCCTTCTACATGGATTGGTCCCTCCAAATAACATGTCCAAAGTATAAGAGACAAAGTCCAAGCATTCTTTCTTCTCAAGAGCATTCTGGGTGTTCTTCTGGCATGGTACTTTCAACATTATTCACCAACACCATAATTCAAATGCATCGAGTCTTCTATGGTCTTCCTTACATGAGGGTGAGCCAAAAATTGTCTGCAGTTCAATTATATTAAAAACATCCGCCCCCATCCACTGCTGATGACAACATTAAGTGTGCACGTGAAATGATTCTGTTGAATAGACAAGTGACAGGGATTATTTGCAAAAATCTTTGGCAAATCAGCTGTGGCTCTGCCTATGAGATAGTCCATGATAGACTTGGGTTTTAAAACATTTGTGTGAGATAGACACCAAAATAACTCACAGAAGAGAATAAACAGAGGATTTTAACATCTGTAAACAAAATTTGGACTGATACTTGAAATAAGGTAAAAGTGTCTTTAAAAACATCATTACTGGTGATGAGACACGGATTCATCACTTTAAGTCTGAGAGTAAAAGGCAGAGGAATGTAAACATCCTAATTGCCAACCAAGAAAAAGTGCAAAAGATACCCATTAGCTAAAAAATGGATGCTTACAGTTTTCTGAGAGCCTTAAGGGCCAGTATTAGAACACTATCAGGAAAAAGGCTCGACAACCAACAGTGCTCGTTACAGTGAGATGCTTACTGAAGAGCTGAAGCCTAAACTTCAGATTAAACACAGAGGACTGCTATCCAGGGGCATTGTGATCTTGCCCATCTCTGCCCACACTGTTGCCGCTCTGCAAAAACTTCGTTTTGAGGTGTTAGAGCATACGCTCTAGTGTTCAGATTTGATATATCGGACTTTTACCTTTTTGGTTCCCTGAGAGCAGCCCTTCAAGGACAAAGATTCACCTCTGATGAAGAAGTGAAGACAGAAGTGTATTTGTGGCTCACAGCTCAGCCTAAAACATTTTTTAAAATAAAGGAATACGAAAACTTATTGACAGATGGACAAAATGTATTGAAAAGCAAGAAGATTTTGTCAAAAAATGATGTATTTGTCTTTCTAAAAGTTGCTTAAAATAAATTCTACAGTCAGAGTGCTGGCTGTCCAACTTTCACGTACATCTGAGGAGACTGAAAATGCCATGGCTTGGCTAAGGTTCACCTTAGTCTCCAAACTGGTATCTTTCCCCTTTAACACTTTAAAGAGCTCCCACTCGATGACACGTCACAACAACAATAATTTTCAGAGCTGATTCTCCAGGCCTTTCTTTCTAATCTTAGTCTGGAAGCTCTGCTGGCACTTGTCCATGAGTGACCCTTCTGGTATTTGAAATACCAGAAACATAGGTTCCAGCATCACAGCAACATTCAAGTTACCATAGTATGACATATGGGCAGATACATGGTAGAATTCAATGCTTAATTCTGCAAAATTTCAGATTTAGGAAAAAAGGTCATGGAAAGGTAAAACTTGAAACAACATGTAAGAAATGTCCACTAATAGTTACAGATTTTATAAAACATGCCGTTCTTGTCTTCATTCCCATTCTGTCTCTCTCTCTTCTTTTTTGCACAGCACAGGGACGGGCTTTCTTAAGCTTGCTCCTGCAGCTGCTGCCCTGATTGCATTCACAAGGCACAGTCCTCTTACAAAGTACAGAGGTAATACATGTGCGGGTTTTGACTGTCTTAAGTGCAGGGACCCCAAATCTCCAACACATTGTCTTTACACTTATTCCGTGTCCCCACAATAGCTGTTCTTAAGCATGAGCTCAGCATGACATATGCACTTAGTGAGGATTTTTTAACGTTTATGTTTTAGAGAATTTGTAATTTTTCAAGATGTCTGTCTATACTTTCTAATTACTCGTTACTTGGCTGTTCTTGATATTTATTTGCTATAGAGTTCTGGTGTGATACTGTGGGCAAGGAGCTCTGGTAGTGTAGTGGTTACGAATCGGGCTGCTAACATCAGGGTCGGCAGTTCGAAACTACTAGATGTTCCGCAGGAGAAAGATGAGACTTTCTGCTCCCGTAAAGATTTACAGCCTCAGAAACCCTATACAGGGTCACTGTGAGTCAAAATCGACTCCATGTTACTTAACAATAAGAACAACAACTGTGGGCTAATGTGCCGGACTGCAATGCCGGTTGGAACCGCAAAGTTGGTGGTTTGAGCTCACCAACTGCTCTTTGGAAACCCTATACAGGGTCATTGTGAATGTAAACCATCTCAACGGCACTCACTTAACAACAACAACAAGGATTATTCAGACATCAGTAAATATTATTCCTGTGAAAACAAAGACCATCCTCATGATGTTGTTTACCAATTACATGGTCTTCACCTTGTTGTTGTTGTTAAGTGCTGTTGAGTTAGTTCTAACCCACAGGGACCCTGCACAGGAATTCTGAGGAGCAGCTGGTGAGTTTGAACTGCTAACCTTGTGGTTTAAAGTGACCTGGTGATCCAGTACTTACCATTGATGTGCTCAATTATCAAGAAGTGGAAAAGTGAATGGACTTTCATTGGTTATCAAATTATCTTGTTTTGTAAGCCTTCAAAAAAAAATGTTTCCCTCTCCTTTTCCTTGATATCTAGAAAGAAGCCATTTAGAATTCAAAGCACATACTTTTAAAAGATGTATTGCAGCTATTCAACATAAGGATTTCATTTCCCTTTAATGTGTCTAGCTCTTTTTCAGCTCTATGCAGAAAATAATAGAGGACATTTTGAATCTGGGGCACACATGACTCGAAAGAGTTTGAGACACCTACTAACGGATCTACAGCAGGTAAGTCCCCAGGACTTAAGAATTCTAAGTTTCGGTTAGAATAACCACACTTGTTAGAAAGGATCTGACTTTCAGTGGGTTAAATTTACCATTATGTAGCTCCACACAACCCTTTCCCTCTCTAGCCACTGCTATAATCTGAGTATAGATATATTGTTGTTGTTTACTGGAAATTCAGTTTCAACTCATGGTGATTTCATATGTGTCAGAATAGAACTGTGCTTTATGTGGTTTTCAATTGTTGGGTTTTCAGAAGTAGATCACACACAGGGCTTCTCCCAAGGTGCTTCTGGGTGGATTCTTTTGGGTTAGTAGCTGAACACATCAGCCATTTGTACCACTCAGGGACTCCAGTTAATCTCTGCAGAAGCAGAAAATAGCTGAGTCAAAACATATCTCTATAGGTTCAGATAACACTATCCTTTGAAAGATATATAGTGGTCTCTTGCTTATTTCAAAGTGTTTTGTTTTTCCACATACAACTTGTTCCCTTTTCAGTTCTGAATATTAAAATGCTCGCTGTACCTGACACGCACAAGTTCTCATGTCTGATCGTCACTGTTCCTTCTACCCACAATGCCATCACTTGCCTTCCACTTGACAAGGTCGGTTCATCTTTCAAGATCACTGAACTATAGTCACCTCCTCACAACAGGCTTCTTGAACTCCCTGAGCACATCACTGTATGTGATCACTTGTCAGACTGTGTTGCAATGATTCCCCAGCTGTAAGATTCTCCTACTAGTCTGTTTCTCTAGAACCAGGATTATAGCTCATTCACGCTTCTCTGCAGTGCCTTTAATAGTGCCTGGTCCTGTGGTGGTTGTTCTTAAGTGCCATCGAGTCAGGTCTGACCCATAGCAACCCTGTATAAGGTTTCCAAAAAGTGGCCGATGTGCATAAACTACCAACCTTGTGGTTAGCTGTCCAATATCTATCTTATAGCACCACACCAGGACTTCAAGAAGGCCCTTAATGAATATTTAACAAAACATAGATGAAATGCAAAGTTAAACACTCAAATGGTTAAGAATTCCATCATTTCCTGTGTGTTAAGAATGTGCAGATAGAATATAGTTTCTATTCTTAACCAGGCAAGGGTATTTTAGTGATAAAATGGTGTAAACTGGTGTAACCAAGCCACAATTTCTACAGTGGGTGGGGTAGGCTTTAGTCTTATGTCCAATTGGTTTCTGTCTCATTAGACCTTTTATTTTGGTTTCAAGGATGTCTCTGGTCTTGTTGTTGTTGTTTTAAGTGCTGAAGAGTCGGTTCTGACTCACAGCAACCTTGTATAGAGTTTTTGAAGAGTATCTGGTGGGTTTGAACCACCAACCTTGTAGTTAACAGTCTAGTGCTTGTTCTTCAGCATCTTCTCCTAGCCTCTGTAAAATTGCCACATTAGGATGTCTCTGCTGTGAAGCAGTAGAGTTTTTGTCAGTAAGTTTCTGTCATTTGGCTCCTGGGTCTGGACTCAGGATTAAATATTAGGATAAAGATGAAGAGTGTCAGAATATGGTTTGGAAAAACATATCCCAAACTAACTCTGGTTTCCTTTGATCTAAGTATTTCTATATCAATTTTTATTTTAATATATAATTTATCTGGAAATTCCAAGCAACATTGTCAATGTTCATATTTCTTAAGTGGAACAGTGATTTTTAAAGAAATGTAGAGGATTGAAACATCAGGCAGTCTCGGCAGCATGCAGATCCAGCCGCCGATCCAGCCGCCGGTTGTCAGGCACCTCTCGGGGTGCCAGAGGCAGCTCTTCCCCAGCAATCCCAAAATCTCAGGTCTTGGCCTGGTAGGGAGCCAAGTAGGTGGGAAATCTGTCCACCCACTGATACCATCAGACTTGGAAGACTAGAGTGGTTACAAAGTTGTTGGTGTGTGCTATCAAGACAGTCTCCACTCACAGCAGTCCCATGTGACAGAGTAGAAATGCTCCGGAGGGCTTTCTAGGCTATAATCTTCATAGGAGCAGGTGGCTGGCTATTTCTGCCATAGAGTCACTGGGCAGATTCAAACCTCCAACCTTTCAGTTAGCAGCTGAGTGCTTAACTTTTTGTGCCACCAGGACTCCTTGTTTAGAAATAAGGTGTATGGGAAGGAGACGGAGTGAGGGCATTTTCCTTCTCATGTAGAAATCTCTGTGTTCTTCTCATGACCCCTGCAGCTGGCCCAAGACCATCCCTTCCTCCAGCAGTCCCTAAACATCTGCCCTTGATCTAGGCTGTGCTGCTGAGGTCAGTGAGCGGGTGAACTGGCAGTCCCCAGAGTGCTCTGTCCCCATCAAACATTAATATGCTATTAGGAAGGCAGAGATTTGCATAGCAAATTGTCATCCCATTGTCTTCCATTATGAATTCAGAGATAGATTCGCAGAGAAAATTCCAAATCCCACTATGTGATTCAAATCCCCCTTAAGAATCCTAATGATCATTTCAAGTGGTATTCACCCTGTGTCAGCATGCCATCTAAGTGCATTTAATTCCCACCTACAACACCTGCAAGAAATTAGTCAAATGGGCAATTAATCCATAAAATCTTTGTGTGTGCTTTTTAAAACCAGAAACGGAAGTTAAGACACACCACAGTAGGGATTTTTATTTCACTCATGTCAGAATCACAGAGCTGATAAACTGGTCCCATCCGATCTGCCTCCCTTGTTTTATAAATTAGGCTCATCCCGGCTCTCCAGGACAACAGGAGAATCTGAATGTTGAATCAGCCATATGACCTATGCCAATGGTCCTGTCACTTTGCAGACTGGAAGATGGAAGATGAGTTATGTTTCAGACAAAGGCCAGATAACATAAGGAGCAGTTATTTAAGATCTGATGGTGACAGTGTTAATATCAATTTGAAGTACAAGCCATCTTGTCTCCTTTACACAAATGTTTGTTGACTTCTGCCTAGCTAATTGTCAGCAAAGAGGTTCTAAGTGCCACTTTCCTGATTAGAAGAATGTTTATTGGAGTTGATGGACCAGCAGGGTGATCTTCAAAATTACTGTGAGGTTGCAGGCAATGTCTGGGCTGCAGAAGACATCAGACGTGACATTAGGTCCCATGACTGAAAGGGAACAAATGGAGACTACGGTCACACTTACCTGAGCACAGTGCTAATATCTGAGGCAAGTCCCTGGCAATCACAGGGTTTCTTCATCTTTTAGCTCCCTTCCCTGTGTTCACTGTGGTGGAAAGATGGGAGCCACCGTCAGGTAGATAGTGCCAGTGGAATGGATCTAAGATGAGGTGCAGCAAAGCTTTGTGAAAACCCTAAGTGAAGGGTAAGGAGTCCTGGACTTAGACTCCAATTCTGCTATGAAATCTCAATCATCCCTTGCTTTAAACAAGGATAATGGTTTTAGCACCAGATTGGCATTTGTTAAAATGAGATGACATGAAAGCATTTGCAAAGGACAATAAAAACCCCTATAAACTTTAATACAGCATCAATGTGATCTATATTTCATAGATAAACAAGAACAAAGAGAGGGTAAAATAATTTCACTAATCATAAGAAGCGATGCAACCAAAGCCATCCTTTCATAACCCAATTGCCAGACTTGCTTCTGTCTACCTCCTCCCTCTTCCCACCAGCCCCACTTCGTTCCACTTCCTCCTTCCTTCGTGGTCTCAGTTCAAACCCTGCGCACAAACCAGACATTGCTTTTGCTCCTTTGCTTTGACACAGCTCCTCCAGGCTCAGAAACCAAATGCCTGTGACTCCTTGGTGTGACCACTATCACTCAGGCGTGCTGATCCTGATGGCCACAGAGTTCTCCCTTTCTAGCAGCTGACATTGGTATCTGCCCTCTTGCAGATCCCAACTGTGGTGGGGGAGAGTCATGCTCCTTGTTCTGTGGAAAGTGCTACACGCAGCTGTTTCCAAAGGGTGAGTACAGTGCCCCAGGGAGTTGGGAATAGACATGCCTGAATCATTTGTTGACAGATTTAAAATGATCATTGTTAGGTGCCTTCAAGTCAGTTCCAACTCATAGTGACCCTGTGTATAATTGCAGAGCACTTCCTGGTCCTACACCAGCCTCCCGATTGTGCCTATCCTGGAGCCCATTGATGCAGCCTCTGTGTCACTCCATCGCAATGACAGTCTGCCTCTGTTTCACTGACCCTGTACTTTACTAAGCTTGGTCCCTCCTGATAACGTGTGTCCTAAGTCCTGAGATGAAGTTTCACAATCCTTATTTCTAAGGAGCATCCAGGCTGTACTTCTCCCAGGACACATGTGTTTGTTCTTTGGGCAGTTTTAAATTACAGACCTATGACTTGACATAGCCTCCCAGACAATCTATTTAGGAAGTAGAGTTGCCTCTGACTTTCCACATGATAAACTTCTTCAGCAGAGCAGATGACAAGAGAAGATGAAAATAAATTTTCATCGAGACTCGAAACCAAAGGCGTGCTTAAAGTGCATCTATGTGTATTACTGTTTTTCAGGTGTTGAGCCCAGCAATCAAAGAAGATAAATTCCTAAATTGGTTGCAGTCTGAGCCACTCCTCCTTCTGTGGCTCCCCACCTTCTACCATTTATCAGTCACTGAAATGGTCACTCACCCAGTTCGGTGTAGTATCTGTAGAAACTTCCCAATCATCGGACAGAGGTACGGCCACTCATGAGTGTATGACGGTGATGCTCCGAACGGGCCTGGAATTGGAGATGTACCCTTCCAGGTCCTTTCTGAGGTCCTTCTCACACATCTGAACTCAGTCCTTTCTTTTACTCAATCATTTTCTGAATGAGGCATCCTGGTTGATAATTAATGTCATTTTATTTTCTACGATGATGGACACAGCCTTCTAAATTCACAGCAATTGAAAATTTTATTCATCTAAAGGGAAAATAATTGTTTTGTTTAAAAACATGTTTTAAATGCATTGGAGGCATCAGTAATAATAGCAATAATAATAACAAAAGAAAAGCAAGCTAAACACATTTGCATTGAATTGATTCTGATGCATAGTGACCCTATAGAATGAGTAGAACTGTCCCATGGGGTTTCCCAGGCTATAATCCTTATAGAATCAAACAGCTTCATCTTTCTCCCTTGGAGAGACTGATAGATTCGAACTGCCAGCCTTTTGGCTAGCAGCCCAATGCTTAATGCACTGTGTTACCAGAGCTCCTGAATAATAACAACAGTTAACCAAGTGCTAGGCTGAAGGAGCTCTGATAGCATAGTGGTTACGAATCGGGATGCAAACTTCAAGGTCAGCAGTTCAAAACTACCAGCTGTTCCACGGGAGACAGATGAGGCTTTCTGCTCCCATAAAGATTTACAGACTCGGAAACCCTGTGCAGGGTTGCTATAAGTCGGCACTGACTCCACGGCATATAACAAGTACTAGGTTGAGTAGTCTAAGGAGCTTTGGTAGCGTAGTGGTTACAAATCGGGCTGCGAACCACAAGGTCAGCAGTTCGAAACTACCAGTTGTTCCGTGGGAGAAAGATGAGGCTTTCTGCTCCCATAAAGATTTATAGCCTCGGAAACCCTGTACAGGGTCGCTATGAGTTGGAACCGACTCCACGGCACATAACAACAACAACAACAAGGTTGAGTAGTCTACATGGATCATTGCATGTAAAACTCAAGATAATCCTATCAAAAGGTAGTGTTATTATCCCCAATGACAGATGAAGATATTGAGACTTAAAGACATTTCAGAACTTGCTTAGGTCAGCCATGTTCTGAGGCTCATGGTCTGAATCCAGAGGCCACACATTTTGATCATGGTGTGAGGCTACTTCCCTCTGCAGATAACCTAGAACATGGTCTCACCCTTGGAGGTGAGAGTGATTTTACAAGAGCTCAAGGATCTTGAGCCCCCTACAGGCAAGGGCAGATCCAGGCCTTTCCACAGCTTTGAGGATGGCAGTAACAATCACGTTTTATAGAGAAGAAGGCAGGAAGGGAAGGAGGGAGGGAATACAGAGAATGAAGGGAGAAAGGAAGGAAAAAAAAGAAGCAAAGAGGGAAAGAAGAAAGAGAGGCAAGAAAGAAAAAAAAAAGGAGTTATATTTAAAGTCTGGGTAGGAGAGGAAGAAACCAGCAGGGCCAACCCAGGTGGGGGATCCTAATCTTCATGGTGAACTAACACAGGTGTAGAGACTGGAAACTGAAGTAGAACTGAAGACTTGGGACAACCAAGGAGCTAAAGAGAAGCCAAAGCTAGTGGTGCCCAGAAGGGCCAAAAGGCATGAGGACTCCGCGCTTGACTCCTCCTCACTGTATTTCCTTCCCTTCCTGCACCTCAGACAAGCTTCTCTCAATTACAACACAGACCTGCTGGATTCACTAAAATACTCAAGGACAAGTTGTAATATTGGTGAGGAAACAACTTGAGTTTACAGAAAATTCTGAGAGCACAATGTGACCTCACTCATGAAAAACTCTTTGCCACCACCTGAATCATAAGCAATAAAACATAGCAATGAAAAGAACTGTTAGGAACTCAGCAAGAGGAACCCAAGAAATCACTAGACTACAATGAAGAAAACAACAACCCCAAACCTGTTTTTATTTTAGACAGTGGAAAAACATGACTATGATTTGCCATGAAAATATTATAATCATTTAACCAGTAAACAAGAAGTAACAGTCAGCGTGTATCCAGCATAGTACAGAAATTCACATTATTTTCAAAATCACTGTGTAGAAAACAAAGCAGATATTACAATTCCTATTTAAAAATGGCAAAATTGAGTCTCCGAAGATTTGAATGACTTACACATGTCTCTCACTTTAAAAACAAAAGAGGTAGCAAAAGTAGAAATTTAAAGAGCCATACTTCACATTTTAGAACTTGTTCCTATCTATTGAGAATGAGATTAATCTTCCCTTAGAACTGTTTCAATGCTCACCATGCTTCCTTCGTGAGCTTCCTTGTGAGTAAAATAAGGAGGAAAGAGAGAGCAAATGACATCAGAGGCTTCTTCAGCTCTGATCTTCTGAGTCTATTTAAAATGTCCTCAATGTGCTACAGTGAGAACTTCAGATGGATGTTTGGGGATCTCAGAAAACTCAAGGTTGTGTGCCCTTGTGCAACTTGCAGTTTCCTTCTCTGAAAAAAGAAGATAATAATAAGAAAACTTGGCTTCAAAGTGTTTTCATGGACATTGCATGTTGTATGATAAGTGTTCAAAATGTTAGGTACTACTGTAGCCATTTGTTGTTGTTGTTAGGTGCCATCGAGTCGGTACCGACTCATAGTGACCTTATGCACAGCAGAACAAAACACTGCCCGATCCTAGGCCAACCTCACTATTGTTGCCATACTTGAGGCCATTGATACTGCCACTTGGCCAATCCATCTTGTTGGGGGGGTCTTCCTCTTTTTCTCTGACCCTCCACCTTAACAAACATGATATCCTTCTCCAGCGACTGCTCCCTCCTGACAATATGTCCCAAGTATGAGAGATGAAGTGTGGCCATCTTGGCCTCCAAGGAGCACTCTGGCTGCACTTCTTCCAACACTGATCTGTTGGTTCTTTTGGCAGTCCATGGCACTTTGAATATTCTCCTACAACACCATAACTCAAAAGCATCAATTCTTCTACGGTCTTCCTTATTTACTGTCCAGCTTTCGCATGCATATGAGGTAATTGAAAATACCATGGCTTGGGTCAGGCTCACCTTCAAGCTGCCATCTTGCTTTTCAACACTTTAAAAAGGTCTTGTGCAGCAGATTTGCCTAATGCAATACGTTGCTTGGCTTCTTGACTGCTGCTTCCATGAGTGTTGATAGTTGATCCAAGAAGAATGAAGTCCTTGATAACCTCAATCTTTTCTCTGTTAATAAGAATGTTGTTTATTGGTCCAATGGTAAGGATTTTTGTTTTCTTTACATTGAGATGTAATCTATACCAAAGGCTGGGTCGCTATAAGTCAGAACTGACTCTACAACAACAAACATAAATTCATGACCGATAGATCTTGCCAACCCTCTTCTGATATCACAATATGTTCTCTTTCTCTGAGTGTTATGAGATACATCCCCTTCCCTGAGTGTCTCAAGATCCCCCATCTCCTTCTGACCACAAGGACATTTAAGTTTGAAACTGTTCATGAAAGAAATTCTGTAATTGTGGCATGTGAAGAAACTTGGGTATGCTTGTCACTCAACTTTTGGCAAGTGAGGAACTCCCCCTTTTCCACTTTATGTCTTTACTGCATTCAGAGTTCCAGAATAGGAAAAGACGTTATTTTAAATTCTATATTTTTTAAATAAAGTCTTGTCATTTTACCCAAGACCATACAGAAAAGCCAAATTTTTCAAGAAGTCAGATTGCAAATTTTCTTGAAATCTCCAAGTTTTTGTTTTAGTTGACAACTAAATTTTCAATATTTAGTTTAAAAAAAACCTTTTTTTATTTGAGTGCATTGTGCAGCCTACCAAAATGTAGCTGTAGACCTAGGGTCTATCCTAAGGGTTATGGTACACAGGAGCCTGAAGAGAGAAGGTACTCTCTATATTTTTCATCAACCAGACTTCTATGCCATAGTTTATTGGGTACAACCATACAAATATCATCCCACATTATTAAAATATTATAGAAAGAAGATTTTTTTAAAAATTAACATGCCCTAGTCTATTACTAGCCCTAGAAAGTTTGGGAGAAATGGCATACTTACTTGGTAGCTCAGACATCCCTGTATGTTCGTGGGTGTTCATCCTCTGCCTCGATGGCACTGCCTTTGCTTGCCTATGAGTAGTAATGTAGCTGCATTTCCATTTTAATTGGCAGGTATCGCTGTTTGAAGTGCCTCAACTTTGACATTTGCCAGGTGTGTTTCATATTTGGACTTTACAGCACGTCCCACCAGCAGTCTCATCCTGTGATAGAGCACTGCATTCAGGTAACATTCAACACAATGCACCTAACTGTTCATGTGTTGGTGGTGGTTAGTGACTTAGTGCCTTAAGTCAGTATCAGCTACCGCAGTGAAAGCTCCAACTCCACCCTTCATACCTTGTAACATTGAGATGAAGGAAATGGCAAACTCAAACATCTTTCAATAAATGTGTGCTTGCTTTATACTGTAGATGTTAAAAAGCTTTTAGGGACAAGAGAATATCTGGGGGAAACTAAAGAGGGCATTGGTAATGATAGAGATGGGAACTAGAAGAGCTGTAATTTGGTAAAAGAGTCCTGATGTGGCACTGAGGGTTAATGTGCTGGACCGCAAGATCAGTTTGAACCACAAGGTCGGCGATTCAAACTCACCAGCTGCTCCTAGGAAAGCCTATACAGGGTCGCTATGGGTCAGAACCAACTTGACAGCATTCAACAACAACTAAAGTTTGGAATTACTATGAAACCGGGTCTCTCGTTGCTAATATATTTTTTGAGAATTTTTTTCAAACATGTATTTTCCCGCACTCTATATTTCTAGTATTTTTTATTGGGAGGAGGGGCTGGAATATAAGAGAAACATGACTATTTTGTTTTGTCTTGGAAAGCATCAGAGCTGTCTTTTAAGTTTTTCTTTTTTAAGAGAAAATTATAAATGCCCAGCATGTGATTAAGCCTATGCCTTTTTTTTTAATAATTAAAAAAAAACCAGGATACTAACTTTTAAATAAAGAGCATCTTAATTTCTCCCAGAACCGGCTCTTTCTTTTCATGAGGAAATTCCTATGAAATTTCCTTCTCCTTGTAGGAGGCACTAGCCTCCAATAGAGTGGCTGCGAGGCTGTCATTAAAAACTTACCCAGAAGAGGGTATCTGCCTTCTCAAATGCCAAGATGTTGCCAAATAATTTCTGGTGGATGTTACTTTTATAAAACTGGATTAAACGAGATTGTTGGGTTCATTGATCTCTGATCTTCATTTTAAAAAACCTGAGGGAGAACCAGGCATTGTCTTGCTGTAGGATAAGTACCAGACTGCAAACCAAAAGGTTAACAGTTCAAACTCACCACCTGGTCCATGGGAGAAAGATGAAGTTTTCTGTTCCAGTGCTGATTTACAGGCTGGAAACCCTATGAATTCGCTATGAATTTGACTGCATGGTAATGGGTTTGGGTTTTGGTTTACATTAGAGTAAGGGGCCCTACTACTTCATTGCAGAACGTCTCCACTGGAGAAAGAGGTGGAAGTGTGCTTCCATAAAACTTTACAAGCTTGGAAAACCTATCGGATAGTTTTACTCTGCACCACCAGCCGCTTCTCAGAAACTCTTTACAGGGCCACTATGAGTCAGAGCCAACTTGATGGCACTTAACAACAACCTAAGATATGGTCACTGTGCTTCGAAAAGGCGCAACACCAAATTTTTTTATGTTAGAGTGACACCATGTGGTCATTTTGTTATTACACTTCAAATTTCTAGAGCAGAAGAATCTGTTTCCTGTTAGCAGAGATTCTTAACCTAGGGTCTAGGGATGGATTTCAGGTAGCCTGTCAATCCACTGAAATTGTACCCAGAATCAAACGTGGGAGCAATTTTTTTTTTTTTCTGGAACTAAATCCATGAGTTATCATCCAGTTTTCTAAGGAAGCTACGATTCCAAATATTAACAATCATAAATTTAGCTCTCTTTCATGACCCTCTCTAGTTTTAGAATTCCAAATTACCAGATTACTCTAAGGAAGGGGAGCTGTGCAGCCAGCTGGGGTGCTTACTGTGGAGTGCTATGCTGTGTGTGTATTGATCTAGAGAGGATAGGAAGAAGTTGAGGAAGTAAGATGATTTTTCTGAGGACATGAAAGTGATGGAAATAAACCCCAAAACTTTCAAGATGGCTGGTCCACTCAGTTAAGGAAAGAAGATTATGCTAGGCTGATCTGTCACGTTTTTTAATGTTGCCTATTCCTGCAGATATCTGTGAAGGAAAATACAAAACTCCTGCTCAGGACCCTCAGAAACCATCTGCTCCGAAGTCAAAGTAGGAGGAAAGAGGCCCAGAAAAGACAGTGGCTGCTGGACCAGGTGAATCCAAAGGGTGTGGCTAACCACGCCCACTCCAGGTGGGTGTCTGGGAGACACAGTTGTTCAGTGTGAGAGCCCAGGGGATCTAGGTATTGGGTTAGGTTACAGCCGCTAACTCCTAGAAGTTAAAGAGGTGAGGAAGATTACAATGTTTTGTTTTGTTTTGTTTTTCCTTCTACTTTAATTTTAAAGCAGAACTAAGAGACAGGAGCTCTGGTAGCGTAGTGGTTACGAATCGGGCTGCGAATCTTAAGGTCAGCGGTTCGAAACTACCAGCCGCTCCGCGGGAGAAAGATGAGGCTTTCTACTCCCATAAGGATTTACACCCTTGGAAACCCTGTACAGGGTCGCTATGGGTCGGAACCGACTCGACGGCACTGAACAACAACAAAGATTTACACCCTCGGAAACCCTGCACAGGGTCGCTATGGGTCTGACCCGACTCGATGGCACTTAACAACAACAACAACAAGAGACAGTGGAGCCCCTGAGTAGTATAAATGATTAATGAGCTCAGCTGCTAACTGAAAAGCTAATGATTTGAGCCCACCCAGACACACATCCTTGGAAACCACATATCCTGGCCAGACTTTGTCTCTCATACTTCAGACATATTGTTAGGAGGGATCAGTCACTGGAGAAGGTAGATTGTTTGATAAAGTGGAGAGTTGGAGAAAAAGAGAAAGACCCCCAGCGAGGTGGATTGGCACAGTGGCGGCAGTGATGGGCTCAGGAGTAGCAGAGATTGTGAAGTTGGCCCATAGGGTCACTATGAGTAACTATCGACTCACTGGCACCTACCAACAACAGACACACATCAAAGGGAGGGTCTGGAGATCTACTTCCAAGAAAATAAACAGAGGTAACTTTAGAGTTATTCTTTTCACCACAGGCATCAGAAGAACACAGAACAGAAGATTCTTAATAATATTAGAATAACTTTATTCTATGTCCTTTTTGTTCATTTGGTTTTGAAACAAAATTCAGAATCAATATTTTATTTTTTAAAAAAAGGAAAAGAAGGATGCCCATCATCTTACCCCTCACCCAGAATACAATAAGGTTGTTCACCAGAGTTGTTGTTGTTAAGTGCCTCCGAGTCTGTTCTGACTCATAGTGACTCTATATAGGGTTTCCAAGGAGCAGCTGGTGAGTTTGAACCACTGACCTTATGATTCAAACAGCTTTATCCCACAGCGCAATACGTAGCAGAATTTCTGATGAGCTCAGAAATTCTAATCAGAGGCTGATTCAGGAGGACTGAGTGTGTAATATTACCATTTCACAATGTGTTATATGAGAAAAAAAAAATCCTTGATTTCTAATAAGTTGGCATGTGAGCACTGACCATTTTTTTAGAGATTAATGGCTTCTGTCAAATGGTCATATGAAATTCACTCTTTGATCCAGCAAACCTTCTGCATCACCTTTGGCCTCCTTCCTTTTGATGTGGATTCATTGATCTTAACCATAATAGTTCACACAGAGAATATCTTCATTTACAAAAACATAATTAAAAGCTAATTGCAAACTATCACCACTTGTTATTAAATATTTTGGAAGCTCTTGTAAATGTAATCAACAAGAAAATTAAAACATTGGAGAAAAAAATTCTTTCATTTGCAATTAACATGAGGGTAAGTCTAAAAGTATTGCTACAAAATCATAGAAATAACTATTAAGCAAAAATGTCAAAATGTGAAGCAATTGTATCTCAGCAGACCTTCCATCTACTTCTATACACTTTAAATGTTTTATTGTGAATTCTGTGATCATTCACATGGGAGAACATTAGCTTTACATTCATTCTATTGCATATCGTTTCATTGCCGTGGTTACAATCCCCTTCATGCATCATCAACCAACCAAAGGGTATACGCTGCAAGCCTGCCCCCCCAGTCATCAGCACACA